CGCCCAGCAGCCCGCGCTCTTCATCATGGCCTCATGCCGCTCACCAAGGAGGTGGCCAAGGGCAGCATCGGGCGCGGCGTACTTCCCGCGGTGGAATTGGCCATAGAGCAGATCCGAAACGAGTCGCTTCTGCGCCCCTACTTCCTCGACCTGCGGCTCTATGACACGGAGGTGAGTGTCCGGCTGCCCGCGCCGTCGGGGCTGTAGTGGGCAATGGTGTGTGTGTGTGTGTGTGTGTGTGTGTGTGTGTGTGTGGTGTGGGGGGAGTGTTGGACAGAACAAGCTTTGGTCCTTGGGCAAAGCCCTGATTGACCCGTCAGTGCCTGCCAAGAGCATTGCCAACTGGTGCTCAGTGCTCACCCTCTGGTGTCCCACGGGCTTGGCTGGCACAGCTGCGACCAAGATTTGCTAAGCATCTCACTCCTTAGGGATTGCATGTATGTATATATGTGTGTGAGGTGTAGGATAGAAGATTAGGATCTCCTTTAACCAGAGAAGGAGTAGAGAAGGTGGGGACTGGATCCCCCAAAAGGCCTGCATTGGTTTTCCCTGCCCAGGTCCCGCTGGTGGGGCTATGGAGTACCAGGTGGGAGGAACTAGCGCAATGACTGCAAACTGGGCCACCTGGGGCTGGGGAGGCCATTGGCCTGCTCGCGGGCCCCAGGAGAGCCGAGCCACGCTCTGAGGTCCGGAGGGCTCCGGACCCGAGGGGCCAGCGCGCGCAGCAGGGCTAGGTGCTTGGTCCGCACGGTGCGGATAGGTGTGGGGCCTCAGGTTCTGCAGCGCTGCCGCCTGGATGTGGCCGGAGCAGTTTTATAAGGAACCCTCCGCCCCGCCCCCCCCCGCCCCGGCCCCGCCGCCCTTGGGTTAGTTGCTCAAAGAGTGCCCTGAGCAGGTCTTGCCCCGGATGCGCGGGGTACCCCGTTCGGCTGCGCTGCTGCTGTTGGCCCAGCGGCTGCAGGCACAGTTTCTCCGGGCGCAGACTTGAAGCAGGGACTTGGAGTGCAGCAGCGGTCTTGGTCTCCGGACCTCCTTCTCCCAGGGGAGCCGAATAGCCTAGAGCTTCCCCTCTCAAGCCCCCTCCTCACCCTCTTGGCTTGGGTTTCGGCTGAAGCCCCAGCACGGACCTTCACTGCAGCTCGGGGTCTGAGTGAGGTGCGCAGAAGGTGTTTGGAGGAGCGATTGTCGCTCGAGGTCGGGTTTGCGAGTTTTTCCGACTAAGGAAGCCCCCAGCGCTCTGGCCGAAGAGTCTGAGACGCGGCCTGAAGGGGGCAGTGATTTCCTGTGCAGTAAGCTCGGTTGGCGCCTCTTCCACCGCGCCAAGCCTGGCCGGGGCGCTGGGCTTGACCCCGGCTTCCCGGTGCTCTCAGGGCGCCTCTGCTAGAGCCCAGGTGCATACCCATCCAGGAGGAGAGTCGCGCTGCCGCGCAGATCGTGCAGCCCAGGCTCTGCTTTCTTCTCTGTCTGGCTCCTTTTTGGTCCCTGGAGTAAGAGCAGAAACCTGAATTGCATATTATTCCCTGCCATCCTCCCTTCACGGACTAACCAGCCTGCTCTGCGCTGTAAATAAAAGGTGAAGGAACGGGTGACAGTTGGTGGTGCGAGAAGGCTGCTGCAAGCCTAGAGGCTTCCTCTTCCCCAGGAGGGTGCAAACTGGGGTGGGGTTGGGGTGGGGGTGAGGGGGTCGGACTGTGCAGAGCTAACCCGGAGTGAAATCATTTTTGAATGACATTCCCATCGCCCTCATCTTTGTCTGAACACTTAAAGTTCTCTGGGGTACTTGCCCTGCACACGTAAATGGAGAGGACCATGCAATTACACGGAGGCATGCACTGTTTCTCTGTTGCTTCTCTCTCTCTCTCTCTCTCTCTCTCTCTCTCTCTCTCTCTGTATATATATGTGTGTATATATATATATATATGTATATATATATATATATATATATATATATATATATATATATATATGGAGGGACACATAAGAACTGGTTCTTTGGAGACAAAAACGTTTGTAGACAGGGCAGCCCTGCTTGCATCATCACCAAATATTGTCAGCTGCATAATGTTTTCATCATCCGTTTATCTCTTCAGAAAGCTTCCCTGAACGAGATTTCATATTAGCCTGTTTGTGGCAGTAAAGGGATGGGTGTTTGGTTTCAGGGCGTGGGTTGAAGCTTTTAATTTTATTTTTCAAGTGTGTCTTGATGACTTTCTGAGTGAGAGGGCCCAGAGTCAAGAGGATGAGGCAGTTAGGAGGCTCTTCAGATCGTGGGAATATGTAGAAAGCATTGGGAAGGAGGACAGTGGGTAGTATCAGTCTCATGTAAATAGGATGCATCTCTGTCTCTGTAAAGGGGCACAGAGCATGGGCTTTGGGGTAGATTGGACCTGGGTTCTACTCAGAAACAGGTTATCTTACCCCTGGGTGACTTTGAGCAAGGCATTTATTCTCCTAAGCCTAGATTTCCACATATGAAAAAGTGGGACCATTCTATGTACTCTGCAGGGTGGTGATGTGATGCTTAAGGGCAATAACAGGCCAGAGTGGAAATACCTTGAGCTGGTGGACTCAGCAGCCAGTGCTCTGTCTGGCATGCTGTAAACACTAAATAAATGTTTCCTGCTTCCCTCCTCTTGTTTTCCTCTGGCATGGATTCACAAGTAAGACGTTGAGACATTGGGTGTGATAAAATGGTCACAACAGAACGATTAAGACTGCCTATTTCGTTTTCTTGCTTTTGAAATCTCATGAAGAATCAGTGAAGTTATCACCAGAAAAAAAGAATTCTGGCTTATAATCAAATAATTATGTTATCTCCTGCCATGAGGTGTCACATTTGGGAGAACAGAATGCCCAGGTGACATAATACCTAATTTTTTAAAGTGGCCCATCTTTAAAGTGGAGGTACTTTCTGTCTGAGCTGAAGTAAAAGAAGGATTGGTCTGGGTAATTGCAGCAAAATCTATAGTCATCTGAAGAGTGTTTGGGACCTGTTTCATTCAGATGGACTGTCTTTGTGGATTGTGTTTACTCCCTAATCACTTGCTGGCTGTGTCACTTTTTGTCTGTAGACTTGAACACAGATGGATGTGGTGAGATGATTTTGGCTGGCTTTGCTGACATTTGCTGTCAGTAAATGGCCAGAGACTGTGCGCAGCCAGGATGGCCCTTTGTCCACACAGCATTCAAAGAGATGGAGATTTAGCAAGGAATGGGTTAATCTGATCATTGGGTCGGCTTGTGTCAGTAAAGGAGCATTCTACATGCCTTTATCCAGGGTTGATCCTCTACTGTAATTAGAATAGTGACAGAACCTTTAAAGCCCCATTCAGTGACATGTTTGTAAAAATGAAACAGCCCAACAGAGCATCTGCTAGTCAGGACCTCTTTTCTCTGGGGCACCTCAAATCACTTTAGCAAATATTTCTGTATGTATTCCAAGAAAGAGTTGAATATATAAAAACATAAACTGGACAACTGAAAATATAGGTAAAAGAAAGCATCAGAAACCCTTTAGAAGCATTAAAATTGCTGTACCAAGAAACCTGGGCTAGGATGCTTATTGCATTTTTGAGTATTACATTTTAACTCTGAGCTTCCTGGCAGTCAAAGTAAAAAGGTAAACATGCTGGATTATATTTCTTACATGTTGGATTAAAAGCTTCTGAGGCACAATGTTGTTGTTTTTTTAATTTTATAGGAGATTCAGAAATGTTCTTCATGTGGTTGTTTCTCACTCTTTGGTAGCCACATTAATAAAATAAATAACCAAGAAATGAGTTTTTAAAAATTACTGGTTTTTCTGATTTGATTAATGTTCATTTTAGAAAATGGAAAATTATAGAGAAGCATGAAAAAAAATAATTTCCCATAATTCACCTACAGAAAGTAATTAGCATTATTCCCTTCCAGTGGCTGGTATTTACTAATTTATGTACTTATGCCCTTTTATATTTTGTTTCATTCAGTTGACATTATATCATGGGTATTTCTCCATGTCCTCAAATCATTTTTTAAAAAATGATTTTTAGTGGCTGTCAACTACTCTGTCTTTTGGGTGCACAAGTATTAAATCATTCCCTTCTTATTGGATTTATGTTTTCCCAATGGTTACTATTTTAAATTACTCTGTAATAAACTTAGGACAAGTTTAGGAGCCAAAGGAGCACATTCCAGGTGTGCATCTCTCCGGAAGTGTACCCTGATGCAAGCATAGACGTAGAAAACCAGAGTAAACCTAGTGGTTGGTGATCGTGTCCTTTCCTTGAGTGGCTTTGCCAACTATCTATTCTCTCATTCATTGTGCTTTAGAAAGGACTCAAACAACTGTTGTATGGAGGCTGAGTTTTTTAAGGAGGTCTGAATAGAGCTCAACAGGCATTAATTGAGTACCTACTGCAGTTGCTGGTTCTGCAGAAAGGAGTAAAACCCAGCCCTGGGCTCAAGAGGGGAGCTGTTGTGCAGGGGAGAAGAGTAAGGATGTATTTGTCATTTTCAATGCAAGATGGTGATTGTGGTGATGGTTGTACAATTCTGTGAGTATACTAAAAACCATAGATTCATATACTTTAAAAGAATGAATGTTATGGTATATAAATTATAGTCCAATAGAGCTGTTGTTAGCAATAAAAAGATAGAAAACGATCTCTTTTAGGATTGGGCTCACACCTTACATCCCCACTGCCCATCATGGTATCTGGCCCTTAGTAGGTGTATTGCTTAGGATTCTTCTTACAAGTGACAGAAACCCAACTTTATTTGGTTCAGATGACTGAAAAATCCTGGAGTAGGCTCTGCTCAGGCATGGCTGAATCCAGAAACTCAAATGATATCTTAAAAAATCTCTCTCTCTGTCTCTTAGCTCTGATTTCCTCTGTGTTTGGTTTCACTCTCCAGCAGGCTCTCCCCATGTGGTGGCACAGATGGCCCCTAGCAGCTGCAAGTTTACACATTTCCAGTTTAGAAATTCCAGTAAGAAGTGTGTTTCCCACGTGTTTCAGGAAAAATCCCAAGATCAACTCTCATTGGCTTGAATTGGTCATATGTCCATCCCCAAACCAATCACATGACACTGATGGGACTGCGACAGCTGCCATCCTTTCATAGAGGTGAAACCAGCAGTTAATAGTAAACGCGTTTAGGTATTAGATCATATAGTCTAGACCAGTGGT